TGAGCTTCCTCAACATCTCTGTGTTAATTCCCAGCAGTGTGCTTAAGTCTCTTTTTAATGTTCTGATGTAAAGTTAAATCCTAAATATGTCACATAACAATGTAGTATTTTTCAAAAGAGACAAATTATTTTTAATTCCCATTTGAATTTTTTTCTAGTGCGGTTTGTACCTGTGGAGATCCCGGACAAAATCTGTGGTTGTGCATCAGAGTCATTGAGCCTCAAGCCAGGAAAGACTGTGACTGTGATCACAATGAATGGGAAGAATGGGAAGAATGTTTGTCTTGTTTCTTAAGATAGATGTTATTGAAGTTTCTTCTTGATAATATCCAACCCTTCTCAAAGACATGTGGGATAGCTTGTCTATTAAACCTTAACATGGGTATTGAGTAAAGAATACCAAATGTATTAAAAACACCTTGTCTGTTTTTCAAGGACGACATGAGCTAAGCATGCCAGAGTTGGCTTGTGAAGCATGCGCTGCGACATGGACGACTGGGGTTGACGACCTTCTTCGGAGTGACTACTGGCCAGCTACCCTTCACTTCGCCACCATTTATGCCACAGATGTTTTCTTCTCATTTGAGGAAATGAAAATGGCTGCACCTGGACTATCCTTTCAGGCATATTTAAGGATGCTCGATCAGCGAACGTTGCGCTTCGGCCGTGTGAGTATTGAAGTTACTTGTCCTTTTTGATCTATTTGTATTGTACAAATTGTAAGCTGTGTCCTTATAATTTATCATTTATTTTTGACATTATCTGTTGATGTCCTTATTTTGTTATAGACTGGGAAGATCTCAACTGACAGCTTCATCAAAAGTTTCTTTGAGTGGGAGGCTGTGCGTTATGAGGTGGACATCATGTGCAAGGAGGAGCCCTTCACCTGTCCTGCGTGTAGCCCTGATATGCTTGCAGTTTCCGTGGATGGAAACCGCAAGCATTACCGTTTCAAGAATGCAGCTAGGTACTATAGAAAATATATAATGTCACAGTATTTGAACAAATAACGAAACAAAACTATCTTGATGTGAACCAATCAATCAATCAATAATCTGAGATGTCATACATTGCTCCTTTGATTTATTTAGATCTGAGGAACAGGCCATCTTTGACGGTGTCTTTATAGCCAGGGATGAAGACGTCTCAAGATTTGTGGACTATATACACACCACAACCAAACATGTAATATTGCAGACTCTAATTATGTATAATATAATATCCTAATGAAGGGTTTGGTTAGGTTAGTCTTTGCACCATTTTCATCAATACATTTTTATATATTAGGTCTCCGGAAGAGGTGTTTGTGGAGGACAGTGGTCGGCAGCCAGAGAGACCTCCCAAAAATCAGCCGGCAAGCTGGATGAGGAGGGACTAGAGCTTGCCGTCTGTCGACATGGAGTGCTCCTCTGTGCTCTCAATATGTACAGGGGAGAAATCTTTGCTTATCCCCTGTACCTACAGAAAAAGCTGGCCAGTAGTATGTTCTTTTGCATGGATGTGACCTGCAAATATTGGCCCTACCTCCAGAGAATCACAAAAAGCTGTCCAGAGCTCCAGCATCTTCTCGACATGAAGCCCTTTCTCTCAGTGTTTCATGCCAAAGCGCATGACTTCAAATGTGAAGTAAGGAATTGTTACCATGTGACACAATCACTTTATGTAAAAACCTCCTTGTGAATAGTGACAAGTTGTAACGAGTCGTACTTTTGAATATATTTTAAACAGGTGAAATGGAGTGGGGCATATCAAGAGGGGGCTGGACTAACCCTAGGGGAGGAGGTGGAACAGGTCAATGCCTTCCTCTCTCGGATAGCAGTGACCACAAAACACATGTCAAAAGCAGGTGAGTTACGATAGAACCTTTACTGTCAGTTTTCAAACAATGTTCAGAAAGGCACAAATTCCACTAACAAATTACACCAACAACAGAAACTCATAAAAGCTCATTGACGGTTATGACCATAGAACACCATTTAGGATGGCAATATAGTATAAACCCCAGTTACAGTATAAGAAGTAAGAGGAATAGTAATAATGTGATATTCTCTTTTGCAGGACGTACAGACATGCTGACGCTGATGGCCATGCGCTGGAATCAGCAAAAAGTCAGCAACTTGGCCACCTCACTGTCCCGCAGATATCTGAAGGTAATAACATCGTTTTAGAAGAATTATTTGTGGCTGCAGCCTAAATGTAGATTTCTGTATTTACTTGTCTTTAATTGTTTGACGTTTGTAGACCACAAAAGCTCTGGAAAAGCAATTGCAGAACCTGGAGTCCATGAAGGCTGAGTTGGCAGTGACTGAAAAGCAGCTGGAAGACTGGGTCAGATGTGAATGAGTGGGCAGTGAGTGAAAAGCAGCTGGAAGACTGGGTCAGAGATGTGAATGAGTGGGCAGAAAGTGAGGACAATCTTAATGACGTTTTTCAACTTTTTTGTAGTCATGATTTATCAATTTATTTTAAATCTTCAGAATTAGTGATAACCCTCTATTGACATTTGCATTACTTATTTTTCATGAAGCATATGTAATAAAATAATATTAAAACATTTGATCAAATGTCACTGTTATTGTGAATTACTGCTTAATACACCTATTTCCTCTAAAAAGCAACAAGAAACAACCCAAGGGATGCTGCTGCCTTGGCCAGCAAGATCGAAATGCTGACAGTAAGTGTCAAGAGACGTTCGCAGCGTCTCTACAAAGACACAGACAGCAACAAAGGTCGTTCCCGGATCCGCCGCAAGATCAGGGATGAGAAAGGGGTCCTGACAGCCACAGCTGAGAAATACAACTCAATGGTTCCAAGCACAGAAGCGCTGTGCCTCGAAGCCATTCTGTCTGTGGAGAAAGCTTGGCCATGGCAGCTACCAAACAGTGGGAAGTACACCAGTCTGCTGAATGCTCACAGCAAATGTGGAAAACCTTCATGTCTGATATATAAATCTATTTAAGACTTCATAGATTCTTTGAATGTTGATCTTTCATACACATTCATTCATGTTTTCTCATAAATGCTTTGCAGACTCTTTCGACCTCAGGACAAAGAGAAGAGCATTCGACCTTGTCATGGCAGTGAAGAGACTACAGGAGGAGAAGAAGATTCTCGTCACAGAAATGAACCAACACTGGAAGGTCCTTTCAACCCGCAGTGATTCCCTGAAAAAGATGTCCTGCCTGCAAAGTACAGTATATATTACATTTTTACTTTGCATGACTTTACACATCAGTGATAGGTGATGAAGTAACTCATATTGTCTTTATCTTATACATTTAAGATTCACCATTGGGCCTGAGCGAAGACGGGATGAAAGGTCTCCAGAGCATGTTTAGGAAAAAGCAGCACGACATCGGAGAAATGAAGACTCATGCTAGACGATGCTATCTGCAGCTTTTGACTGGAGCAGAGACCATCAGCTTCTTGCAAAGTCTTTCAGATGAGTCTTCTGACTGCGACTCTGACAGCTCTGATGACACACGGTGAAGCCCCCTCCAGACTACCTTCTATTTAACATCTACATGCTCCCCCTCTGTGAAATACTCCGCCAACATGGTCTCAACTTCCACTCCTATGCCGACGACACCCAACTCTACATCAGTACCAATCCATCATCCCAGCTGTCACTAGTCAACTGCCTCTGCAACATCCAAACCTGGATGTCAACAAACCTACTGAAACTCAACAAAAACAAAACAGAGCTCATGGTTGTGGCCCCAAAAACACTGCTCCGGGAGGTTGGAGATCTGCTCCTCACCGTCGATGGCTGCTCCATCCAGCCTGGGCGTCACTCTGGACTCCAGCCTCACCTTCAACTCCCACATCAGGTCTAGTCAAAACTGCTTTTTTTCACCTTCGAAACATCTCCAGACTCCGGCCCTCTCTCCCCGACCCCGTTGCAGAAACATTAATACATACCTTCATCTCCTCACGCCTGGACTACTGCAATGGAGTTCTGTTCGGGGTCACCTGCAAAGCCCTGGACAGGCTCCAGTACGTCCAGAACCCTGCAGCCAGGCTCCTCACCCGCACTAAGCCCTGGCAACACATCACCCCCACCCTCCTCCACCTTCACTGGCTCCCGGTCAAGTCACGCATCCAGTACAAACTCCTCCTGCTAACCTACACATCTCTCCACTCCCTAGCCCCTGCATACATCTCTGACCTCTTTCAGCCCTACACCCCCTCTCGTCAGCTGCGGTCCTCCGACAAAAAAAAATGACACATTTCTTAATGTCTTAATATGTATGTCCAGTAAGTTATTCTTCCGGTTGTTGATATGCTGTTGAAGGCATTTTCTATCATTTCATTTTATTCAGATGTTATTACATGTCTACTCTGAAACACTGTAAACAAGGTCCCATAACAATAAAGTTGATAAAAATAGTTTTGACTGTTCACTCATGTTCTGTTTGTATCTCTGTTTAGCAAACACACGTACTGATTAGCACCATGAGGGGGCGGATACACCTTTTTGTCTGATGTTTTAAAATATGTGCAATAATATAGCTATATCCTGTATATATCACATTTAAAACAACCTGCAGTTGACCAAAGTGCTGTACAAGCAATAACTACAATATTAAATAACACAATGGGAGTACAATAATAAAACAACTAGAAACATATATTTTACATATATTTTTTTAAACATACAAATGTAAAAATGTAATGTTCAACTAGTATTAAAAGTAATGACTAACATGAATAAAACATCTTCAGGTGTTATATATACATATCTGTCCTACACTAATAATGAAACAGATAAAATGGCATTGTATTCTGTGTACCTCATTTGTTTGATCCTCATAAATGACCTTTCAAACACCTCATCAGTTGCCTGTTTTTGACTTAGCCTACATAATTAGCCTGCACCTGGTACAATGCCTTAGCCTCATATAGTCCATATTTAGCTTGATAATGGTAGTTAGATATGTAAATTAACATAATGTGTTTTTGATAGCATTGTATACCATGTGTACTTTATATGTCTGTATTATTCACCTAGTGGTTAAAGCACGTTATTACACGTTTACAGTCATTGCAATGCCGGTAAGGTTGTGTTGCTAATCTCTGCTGCACGTTTTGTTGAATGGGTTACATTTGATGAAAACATTTAAATATTAAGAGTACATACAAATAGGGGGAAAGTAGAAGGTCAATGATAGAAATATAGAATAGAAATATAGAATAGAAAATATCAACAAGATAGGCTACTGTAAGTGATCTCTACAATAAAAGTTTAGTGCCGGATGACAACAGATATTAATAGGAGGATGTGCAAATCAGGCAAACTAATCAGGCTTTATTAAAACATTAAATAATACTTTAAGTTAAGGTCTTTTAAATACATGTAAGCAAAAAGCTTTGGTAAATCTACAGATAAATATTAAGCCTGACAAAGTACTTAAAGTCTAATATTCAGGGTTGCCAACGTTGGGTACCTGGCTGGAGTGAGATTTTGATATCATGGGTTTAATTACACATATGCACTAAATGACTGCTATTGTGTCAGCAGCGGGACCTTAGCATATATATAGGATATATATACAATATATGCAAATACACAATATTGGACACAGACTATAAAGGGCACACAGTTTCATTCACTAATGAAAGTCAAACATGTTTGTTTCCACTGTTTTATTGTGTGCCTGTCGCGATAAGCAAATAATTGACTTATCGTACGATAAATAAAAATGAACTCGATAAATTTCCATTTACATGAGGATGTGACTAGCAGTTTGAAAGGATGTACTTGAATTATTATTACATATTATCATTATGTCAGTGGTCTAAAATGGTCATACAACGGTGCCGACAATATTATCGTTTATCGCAATAATTTCCGTGAAAATGTATCCAACAAAATGAATTATCGTGAGAGGCCTATACATGAAACACACACACACACACACATCTACAGACTTACTCCAAACTGCCACATATATTAATGAACACACTCTCACTCTCATATACTCTTTGACTCGATGTTGGCCTAGTAGAACAATAAGCAGCAGACTTTTACTTTTTTATCATTTCTACTGGATCTCAGATCTGCGCATGCGCAATACGGGTCGGGGACCAACCGGCTCCCACTGCTCTGCTGTCTGTTAACGTTCTTAAGAGTGGTGGGGGCGGGGAGGGAGCGGATTGACAGCTTGAGCAGCTGTCAACTCAACATTGTAAATAACCAACCAAAAAGGATCGCCGGTTCATCTTGTTTGTGGCGTGAGAATAGTTCGGGCAGCGTGAGAGCGTGAGATGGAGAGAGAAAGCGTGATCACACGCCAGATGCGTGAGAGTTGGCAACTGCATAATTTGTTTTGAGACTTGACAATCAACTTTCCTGCAATGTTAACTACGTTTAAGCACTTATTTTAACTGACATTACATATTAATTATACTCTTATAAGATGTATGTAGATAGTATAAGAAATGTGCAGAATATGACAGTTTAATGGTGGAGGTATAAACATATTGATAGATCTCTTGTAATGCACTGTTGACGAACCTGCGAGGTTTGTCATTCATTGCATAACTACACCGTAGTTGTGTATATGATATGTCAATAAACCTTAGAACATCTTGAAAGGGATGTGCCAAATAGGTTAAGGTTACCCTCTGAATTGTGGTGGAGTAGAATTACAAAGTAACAATAAATACTGCTGACAGTTAATGTATCAACGTCTCCATTACAAGTTTCAAAAACTAAACCTTTCTTATTTACACTATTGTCTTTGATTTATTTCCCAAATTATGTTTGTGAATTTAATGATTGTCAAATACAGTTCAACTGGGGAGTAAAACTGTTATAAACTAATAGTGCTTTTAACAGGAGGCAAATTGTGCTACATTTCAGGTGAATACTTTGATAGTAGGTTTAGAATAAGTTTCTAGGTTTTAACATAATGTTTCTCATATGGTCCGTTGCTGCAGGACTGTCACATATCGTCTTTTAGAGATGCTCCTGATGTTCCGGTCCCTGGCATTTAGAAGATCTGGTCTGCGTTTCCACGTTTTGGGGCAAATTCAAATTGTACCAGTATTATTCATGACATATACAGAAGACCATAACAAAATTGATATCTATCTTGTGTTTTAAGACTGAGGCAGCCCGAAAATAATGATTGTCACATTTGCATTAACATACCAAAAACTAAAACATTTTAAATGGCTTTACCCTATTGAGAAATAATTGTACAAAAAATACACAACAGAAACAACAATTTATTGAAACAATTTATTGAAAAAACGTATTGTGTGTGTGTGTGTGTGTGCGTGTGTGTATGTCTGTGTGTGTGTCTGTGTGTGTGTGTGTGTGTGCGTTTGTGTCTGTGTGTCTGTGTGTCTGTGTGTGTGTATGTGTATGTGTGTGTATGTGTATGTCTGTGTGTCTGTCTGTCTGTGTGTGTGTGTGTGTGTGTTTGTGTCTGTGTGTCTGTGTGTGTGTGTGTGTGTGTATGTCTGTGTGTCTGTCTGTCTGTGTGTGTGTGT